GGTGGTAGATGGAGGGTGGACGGGGTCCGCGGGGTCACGCTGCAGCCAGTGGCGGGGTCGCCGTTGGCAGCGGGTGCCTGTGGCGGCAGTGGCGGCTTGGCGGAGTGGTCGTGGCGGCGCTATGCACTAGACTCGGCCCTAGAGGCCCTATTCTACTCAACTAACTACGCGTACGTGCGTGCGGGTGGAAGAGGAGTGCAGTGGTGATGGTGGTGTGCCCTAGGGTGGCCTTGCCGGTGATGACCGACGGTCATGGCGGCTCGGCGGAGCGAGGCTCACACGGGCAGTGCAACACAGAGGCCTTAGCTACCTACTAGCTACAGCAAAAGGAAGAGGAGAAGCTTGGGGACTCACTGATCACTCCAATCGGCCAGAGACGCAGCGAAGGAGGAGAGAGGGGGGCGACGATGATGGCGCCGGCGGACTCCCGAATGGGAAAAAGTGGAAGAAAAGGAGAAAGAGGAGGGGAAAGGGGAAGAGGAGGGGGAGATGGGGTGTTCCTGCCCTCGATAGAGCTGGTGGTGGAGAGGGCGAGGCGAGTGTGCCACCGGTTGGGCCTATTTATAGGCCGGCTAGACCGGTGTCCCGGTGGTGAGATATTTCTCGTGGCCATCCTTATCCATCACGTGGGCGTGCTGCTGACCTCGTCTGGTCACATCGCCATGGTTGTCGCTCGTCCATGCGCTCGCCGGAGTGCCTTGGTGGCTACTCTGGTGGCTTGGCACGGCGGCGACCATGGCGCCGACCGTTGACGCGTTCATAGTGAGGAAGGAGAGGGAGAAGAGAGGAAAAAGGAGGGCACCGTGGGGTCCCATTGTCGACATGCCTCCACTGACCTCTGCTGGCACCAGGGTGGCGCTGACGGGCGTTGACGCCACGGCTGTGCCGCGTGCGGCTGTCGGTCGCGAGGAGGACGATGAAGCCAACATGCAGGGCCTAGGTGTCAGTGGGAGAGAGGGAGGAGAAGGGGGAGCGAGCGAGGCGGGGCCAAGCTGGGCCGCGGCGTTGCTGGGCCGGCTCGCACGGGAGGAAGGGAGGGAGGAGGAGAAGGGCTGGGCTGCTGTTGTGGGCCGAGAGGAGAGAGAGGGAGAGAATGAACCCGTGGGGCTTTTCCTAATTTCCAATTCCTTTTTCTATTTCCTAACTCAATTATGCATATGTTTAAATGATTTCAAATTTAAATTTGAATGCATGAGTGTGTAAAAAGGGTGCCACCATAAGTTCAACAAGTCACGCAATCATTCACACAAAGTTTCACACATATATTTTTATGTTCCTATGTTATTTATTCAAAAAATTTATTTAGGTTAGCTATATATGTTATCTCCTATGCAAAAATTAAAAAGTTCAAATTTTTAGTGATTTTTAACACTAGGTCAAATTTTTAGGGTGTTACACGTACGTTGCAATCGTTTTTTATCTGGATGTTGCATATGTTTCGCACATATGTTGGAACGGTATGTTCCATAATGTTTCAGCTGTTTTAGTCTTATGTTGCAGCAAGTGGTTACATGTTGCAAGTTGAAAGTGTTATTTTTTATGTTTCATGTGTTCCACACACATGTTGCAAATGCATATTCCGAGTGTTTCATTGTTTTCAGACGTATGTTGCATTCAACTTTTTCATGTTGCAAGTGTTTTATGTTGTTCGGCTAGGGGCGAGTTGGGGGGCAGGCAGACGGGGGGGGGGCTGCAGATGGGGGCGCTGGGGGTTGGTGGACGGGTGCTCCGGTCCGGGGCACGCCGGGTCCCGGCTCTCAAGTGCCGTCCGCACGGAGAGAGAGGAGTGGGTTTGGGAAATGACCGGCGGACGCAGATACGAGGCGGAGTGTGCACGTGGGGCCAGATGAAGCCGAACAAGGGTGGGGCGATTGCGGATTGGGGCGCGTCCAGACGTCCGGGCACTAGCCACGCTCCTTATCTATTCCTACAATTGTTTCTTACCTTACCTATTCCTATGGCACTTGACTAGAGGTTAGACCATTTTTGCAGGATGAACAAAGGTAATAAAAGAAGGATGAACAAGGATGAAAACTTTGTGCTGACTAAAGATGAACTGGTACCGACTAGCTTGACTCACCCTCTTTTGCTTTTGTAATACAAAGATTGGTAATCAAATATTATGCATTTCGAGTGCGTGTGTTCTTAAACAATTCCATTTGTTTTTCTCGTGGAATCAAACCTTGACACTTGTTAAAGTCCCCAAGTAAAACGACAAATGCAGCACACCAATCAACATCGCCTTGTCGAAGGCCCTCTTTGGTTCCCAGGAATTGAGAGGAATTGGAACGTAATTTAATAATGAAATGGAAAGCACATTCTAGACATTGGTTTCAATTTATGGGATTCAAATAGACCCTTGGACTTTTGAACTATAGAGTTTAAAGAGTACGGGGCATTCTTTTACAACAATTTTTCGACGCGTGTGATGGCATTTGGCAAAGCAGACATCAATCACTCGGCCAAAATGCAGCAAGGCCACCCCCTCTAAAAAGGGAAAGAGATTACTGATCTGAACTCCTTTGGTTGCCAGTACACAATGCAAGGATTATTGTTTTGTGTATTCTTCTAGCACAGTGTTAAAAAAAATGCGAACATAGAATATAAAATCAGTTCATTGGCATATATGGATTTACAAAAAGAAAAGAAAAATAAATCTGAAAGCAGGTTGTTGGAAAATCATTGGATCAAGATTATTGTAGCAGCATGTTTTTCTTGATATGCCATATAAGAGATATATGATACTCAAAAAACAAAAAAAAAGAGATAGAATCTACTTCTTTAATATTTTAACATGTAGCACAAAACTAATACATTTCTGTATTTTTATATAGGAAAAAAATCCACATTGCCTCCCTCAACTTTTGCGAAAGTCTATTTTTTCTCTCTGAACTCTAAAACCGGGTAAACCACCTCCCTGAACTTTTAAAACTGTTCGTTTTACCTCCCTGACCGGTTATAAGCGGTTTTTAAAGGCGGTTTTTTCTTTATTTATTTATTTTGGCTAAATTTTTAAAAAATCATAGTAAACCATAGAAAAATCATAAAATGAAAAGTCCAATTTTGTTGGACTCCACATGAGTAGATCTATACCGTGAACATATAATATGGTATGCTTTAGCAAAAGTTTTTTGTTGTAGCTTTAGATCTATGCTTTTCTATTATTAATTCATAGCTGCAGTTGCTATGGTCCAATTGTGGTGCAATTTTTATGGTGAACTAATTATTGTATGCTTAAATTATAGTAAAAATTTTATATTCATTGGATCATGTATAACTTAGTTATAGATTTATAAATACTTTTTTAACAAGCATACACCTAAATAAATCTACAGCAAAAAATTTGTACTAAAGTATACCATATTATATGTTCACTACGTAGATCTACTCATGTGGAGTCCAAAAGAATTAGATTTTCCATTTTATGATTTCTGTGTGATTTATTATGATTTTTCAAAGATTCAGCCGAAATAAATAAAAAAGATAAAGGCAAAACTGCCTTTGAAAATCGCTTATAACCGGTCAGGGAGGTAAAACGAACGGTTTTAAAAATTCAGGGAGGTGGTTTATCTGATTTTGAAGTTAAGAGAGGAAAAACAAACTTTCAAAAAAGTTGAGTGAGGTAGTGTGAACTTTTTCCTTTTTATATACAATATGATGACTCTGGCCCATGTAGCACCTACTACCCCTCTTTAATTCTGGCCCAATAACATCTCAAAAAATGGAAGTTTAGAAGGCCCAGCCCTGGTTTGTGACTTAGCCCAGCAAACAGGCCTGCCCCCCTTCGACGCTCGCGCTCGCATCTCGCGAGTCGCGAGTCACGGTCTCGCCCTTTCTGCGCGAGGCCGACTGCGCCTGCGCTCGGCATCCGGCCGGCGGCGGCGCCGTGGCGGCTCCTCCACCTCGCTGCTCGGTGCTCACGCTCTCCTCTGCGGCTCTGCGTCGTCTGGGATACGGCCTCCGGCGGCGCCACGGCGGCTCCCTACCTGCCCCGCAGGCGGCGAACCTCTCCCCCTGCGCTCGCCGCTCGGCATCCCGGCGAGGCGGCGACGGTCCCAGTCTCCCAGTCCGACCGGCTGCAGCCCTGCGGCTCCTGCTGGCTGCTGCACGCCCCCTTCACCCCTGCTGCTAGGTTTGCAACTCTGAACTCTCTGAAGTTTGATGTCTGAATACTGAATTTATGGACCATATTTACATTTAGTCTGTGATAATAATTCAATTTGCATTATTGCACACTAGAATGGACAAGTTTCTTATTAATAAAGATGCTTCCAAGATTACTTCTGAAACTAGAGAGTCGTGTTGAACCAAAAAGAGCACGCATTGAGCTTAATATGAGTGACATAGTTGCTGATCCAGGACTTAGAAAGCCTACTGATGAGTTCCATCATGATAATTAGTAAGCACCCTGACACTTTTTTCGTTGTTTGTCTTTGTAGCCGTGGATAGAAAACTAACAGTGAACGAAATCAAGGAATGAATGGTCATTTTGGCCTTTTGGTTATCAATTATTAGAGCTCTATTTGGTATGCTTTCCTACCACAAACTTGTACTTTATGATATTTAAGCATTCCAAATGAATACTGCTAATTGTCCTTCTGGCTATATCTATTACATAATTTAGTATAGCGCAATAGTGTTAGTAAGATTTTTAGCCCTTTACTATTCAGGCCCCCTCTTGTCGCGTTTCTGGGTCTGCCACTAACAAGGATTATTGTTTTGCATATTCTTCTACCACAGTGTTAAAAAAATTGCGAACATAGAATATGAAGTTAGTTCATTGGCGTATACGGATTTGCAAAAAGAAAAAAAAAATCTGAAAGCAGGTTGTTGGAAAATTCATTGAATCAAGATTATTGTAGCAATGCTTTGCCATCTCTTGAAATCTTGTGCTGACTCTGATCTAGCAGCGCGGCTCATCTAGTAATCGAACAGTTTTTTCTGGTGTTCTTACCTAGATGGATTTGTTCATTTCTTTATTTTTCCGAGCAGGACGCACCATGGAGATTGAGGACACAGCAACAAAGCGTGCCCGTGAAAGAGGCGGCAGCGGATGCTCAGCTAGCGACGTGGACCGGCTGAGTGCTCTGCCGGACAGCCTGCTCCACACCATCATGTCGTTCCTGAAGGCGCGGCAGGCAGTGCAGACCTGCGTGCTGGCCACGCGCTGGCGGCACCTCTGGCGCTCCATGCCGTGCCTCGACGTCGACCATGACGAGTTCTGCAGGACTGGGGCGGCTTCTTCCAAAGACCGTGCCAAGCAGGAGTGGGAGGATTTCGAGGATTTCACCAGTAACCTGATGCATCGCTGCAACGTGGCTCTGCTGGAGTCCTTGAGCCTGCGTGTTACTCACAGCAGGGCACCTGGTTTTCGTCCCCATAAACAAGCAAGTGGATGGCTCCGACGTGCCATGAAGTACTGCACCCCCGACCTTCCCCGTCAGCACGCTGATGGACTGAGCTCCAGTTCATGGCGCCTCAAGAGGCTGCATCTCTGCAATGTGGCTCTGGATGCTCGTTTCGGGAACCATGTCCGTTCGGCGTTCAGATCATTGGAGGATTTGGAGCTGGAGGACTGCACGTGTGCGTTTCAAGCAATCACCTCTGGCTCACTGAAGAGCTTGGTTCTGAAGAACTGCTGGTGGAACTATCTCACTGAGATCACATCACCCACACTGAAGCGCTTAGTTGTCGCTGGTGGCTCGAATAATGCTCCCTGTGTTGTCGTGGCCCCCGCGATTGCTCATCTGTGCCTCGATGTGCCTCTTTACTTTGCTAGAAGTATTTCAGTGAATCGGATGCCATCACTGCCAAGGCTTTGACTTATCTATCGATGAGGTCATAGAGACAGTGTATTGGCAAGTAAACTTTATTGTCATAAATCCTTAGTGTAGGCCTTGTATGTGTCTTGCCATTTCCTTGTTTATCTGAAATTTGAGTACATGTTCTACCATACTTAGAATGCAAAGCATATTAGCATATACCATCGACTCGTTTCTAGATGAAGGTTTTGCTCCCAATGCTCTGTTTTCTTATCTTGTGACTACTCAAGAAAATATCTTCCGAGTCCTGTGAACATATATCTTACTAGAAAGTTTGATGTGGACCTGAAATTTGCATATTTGTCTCTGTTCTTATTTTTACAGTAACATGAGTTACGTTCTTCCAAGAGTGAAATGTTGACGTCATCACTACAGGTGCTCAACATTTTCTAAGCGAATTGCTTGAACACACTTTGGATCATATGTCAACATTTCACTCGTACAAAAAGGGTTTTTACTGACGATAGCTTTTTTTTAATCTTTACTAGCAGTTGTTTGAATCTTTGGTGTGAAAGGCAAGTGAGAATTTTCAGTTTTTCACTAACGTCGGCTGAAGAACTGCCACTACAAACGCATCTTCATTGGTGGTAGCCTTGTACCAACCGCCAGTGTAAATGTATTTATACTGGCCAGTCGGTTACATCAACGGCCAGTGCAAATTGTTTTACGGCAACATGTGCCCTCCATGCTCGCCCATGTCGCGCCGTCGCCGCATGTGCCCTCCATGCTCACCGTTGGTCGCCCGGAGCACCTGCAAGTGGTGCTAACAGGAGAGGAGCCACACTGCAAGTAAAATGGAGGTAATCAACAACCGGACGACAACAGGGACCGTCCCCATCAGATTTTTTTCCCGATCGAAGCATGCACATTGTAAACAAAATATGTGGGTTTGGAGAGAGAAGTAAGATAAAATGGATAGTAGGTATCCAAGACCCTGTATCAGTCGTGACTCTTTATATTTCTATAGGATGGAGAGGTCTTGCCCAATTTACAGTTAAATCATAAGGCAACACAATATACTGGATACGTTGATGAAAGAAAAAAAACATTAATGAATTGGAGCTGGTGTTTAGTCTTTGAAACTGTGTATATCTTTGTTAAGGGAGCACGCAATTTCCATGCCCATTTTGAAGCTTTCAGTGTTTTTTAATAATAAAAAATTAGAAACACTTCCAACAAGAAAAAAAAATGAAAGAAAACAAGCAAATGCAAGTGGACACAGTTCATATAGGGCATTAAAAGAGATATTCTCCAGCAGCAATCTTATCCTTAAGCAAGAAAACAGAGTAAATTTCAGTGGCAAGATTAACAAAGCAAAGGCTTACATCATTTAGAAATGAGTCAAAATCGACATGAACGACGAACCATGAGTGAGACACCAAAAGGTCTGGAGTAACAATAACGCTAACTAAATTCGGTGAGTCTAATGTAACCTTGAGTGTTTGGTACCAGAATTAGAGTGAGGTTAAGAGTACCGGGAGGTAGAAGAAGAATAGAGATGGGTTCAGCCAGACGAGGAATACTGGCAGATTCAACTGGAATTCGGCCTGATTAGTTCATACATTTCTTGTCCTCTCCCTCAGACACACTCATCTATATATCTCTGTAGCTGCACAACATAAACAAGCCACTTTACATGGGCCGTTCTCATTCCGGTCCCGAGATGCGCACGCTGGTCATCCTGTGCCGAGCTCCCCGACGAGGCCCAACTCCAGTTGAATGAGGCATCGAATCTTCGGTAGCAGCAGCAGTAGCAGCCTCAGGAACAGCATCAGTGGTACCTTTGGGATCTGGTTGTTAGAATCGAAATGTGTACCTCTCTATTTGTAACCGGTAGACCCAGGGAAGATCTCATCCTTGTCTTCTCCGTAGATGCACCACAGCGGGTAGACGCCATTGCCGTGGCAGCTCCGGCTCGGTGGAGTCCGTAGTGGTACTGCCGTGGTCCGGTGGTGGCCCTGCAGAGGTGCGACGGCGGTGGTTGGGGCACATCCCGTCGCTGGCAGCACGGTCTTTAGATCGGTTTAGGGTTACTGTAGGTGGGTGTGGCGGCTCACGGCGAACCTCGTAGTCCGAGCCCTCATCCCCACTTTCCTTTTATGTGTGCTGTGCGACAGGGGCCCACCAACCGGATTAGGGTTGGGCTCCCCCGATCAGAGAGCAGAGATAAGGGTCCAATAGGCCGTTGGTGGAGATCAACTAACATTCTCCCCCTTGATCTCATTCTATCTTTCACTCTCATATCATTTATTTTTGTTCATTCCATTACAGATTAGCGCATAGAACATGTCTCATCGTCACGGTCCATTGTCGATAGACTTAACAGCTACAACACACTACTCTGTTCTGAAATAGATACTTATCTTTGTGCCTTCTTTTGTCTAGAAATATTTTAGACTTTCCCTTAAACCCATGCTAGCTACATGTTCTCTGAACACCATGTTCTCTGAACATGTTGGGTGGTAAGGCTTTTATAAGCGGATCCGCGAGCATCCTTTCTGTACTTATATGCTCAAGACTTATGACTTGATCCCGAACTTTATCTTTTACAACATAATACTCTATGTCAATGTGTTTGGCAGCACCACTTGACTTATGTTGTGAGCATTCTGTACTGCCAGATTATAATCGCAGTATTACTTTAGTGGTCTATAGATGTCGTTAACCACCTTCAAACCGGGTATGAACTTTGTTAGTTAGTTCACCTGCCCATTGCCTCATAACACGCTACAAACTATCATACATTGTGGACGATGTAGTGACAGTTTGCTTTGAGCTTTTCCATGAAATAACTCCCCTTTGCGAGATGATAGAAAATTCACGTCTGGATATGCATTCACTATCGCATAATCAGAATCTAAATATCCCACCATGTGGAGTGAATCAGATCTTCTATATGTCATCATGAGGCCTTTCGTTCCTTGCAAATAATGCAAGACTTTCTTTACTAATTTCAGTGTTCTATTCCAGAATTGCTCTGGAATCTGCCAAGTAAAACCCGGTAACAAATGCCAAGTCAGGGCGCGTACATACTTGAGCATGTTGCAAGCTTTCGACAGCTGAAGCATATGGAACCACTTTTACTTTATCGATTGAGCTCATATTGGTTCCTAGGGCATTGAAAATCCCTATATCTGTCGCCCTTAACTATAGAAGCAGATGAGAGACTATATTTGTGCATACTGAATTTCTTTAAGATCTTTTCTATGTATGCCTTTTGTGACAGTCCTTATACCCTTTTTCTTCTATCTTGGTGAATCTCGATCCCTAGAACGAACGAGGCTTCATCAAGATCTTTCATATCAAATTTCTTTGTCTCCAGTAGTAGACTGACATCACTACTAGCAAGTAAGATATCATCTATATACAGGACAAGAAAGATAAACTTTCCATTCTTAAACTTTGTATTAACACAATTGTCCTCTACATTTTCTTTACTTTGTATAGACATAATTGTTCTCTATATTCTCTTTAAAACCCAAAATTCTTTATTGTCTGATCAAACTTCAAGTACCACTGTCTTGAAGCTTGTTTTAATCCATAAATAGATTTCTTTAGGCGGCATCCTATTCGTTCTTTTCCTTCCATAACAAAACCTTTCGGTTGTGCCATGTAAACATTTTTCTCCAAGTATCTGTTGAGAAATGCCGTCTTTACATCCATATGATGTAATTTTTAATCGTAATATGCCACTAATGCCATTATGATTCTGAAGGAAACTTTACATGAGACTGGAGAAAATGTCTCATTGTAATCAATCCCTTCTCTTTGCATAAAGCCTTTTGCCACAAGTCACACTTTATATGTCTCTATATTCCCTTGAGAGTCATGTTTAGTCTTGTAGACCCATTTACAGCCTACTGTTTTGACTCCTTTAGGAATTATTTCCAAATCCCAAACTTTATTGACATTCATCGATTTCATTTCATCTTCCATGGCCTCAAGCCACTTTGATGAATGATCACTTCTCATGGCTTCTTCAAATGAGGTGGGATCATCCTCCATTTAAAATTCCTTAGTGTTATACACTTCATAATCAGCAAAAATAGCTGATTTTCTAACTCTTTGAGACTTACTAGAGGCCTTCACATTTGGCACATCTTCTATTTAAGGCTGTTGTTGCTCCCCCTCATGTGTGGCAATAGGTTCTATAGAATCCTGAAGAACAGGTTCCTCATCATCATTCATTATTGCCACAGGTGGGATAACAACAGGTGCTGGCACCATAGTATCTAGCACTGTCGGTGCAGCGACAGCAGGTAGTGAGAAAATTAGCTTATGAATCATTGGAGTGGGCGCATACACCCGCTTCACTTCAAGGTCAATTTCTCGAGCTACCATGCTCCCCCTCATCAATTCATCCTCTAGGAAGACAGCGTGTCTCGTTTCCACAAACTTTGTATGTCTCTCTGGACAATAGAAAACGAAAACATTTTGACTTTTCTGTGTAGCCAATGAAATGGCAACTTACTGTTTTGGGATCTAACTTCCCAATGTTTGGGTTAACTACTTTAGCCTCAGCAGGGCTCCCCCACACATACGCAAGTGGTTTAGTGAGAGCACTCTTTCTGTCCACAACTCATACGGTGTTTTGGGCACCGACTTACTTGGTACTCTTTTGAGAGTATGAATGGGGTTTTTAACGCCTCCATCCACAGGCTCAACTGTAAGGTGGAGTAACTTATCATACTGCCCACCATATCCATCAGGGTACGATTGATTCTTTTAGTTACTCTATTCTGCTGAGGTTCGCCCGGTATAAAATACTGGGCTACTATGTCATTCATTTAGGGTATGCTGACCGTAGTACTCCTCCACGGTCAGACCTGACTATCTTAATCTTTAATATCTTAAATTTATCCAATACATCTTTTCTTTCTTTGATTGGATAAATATAGCCATAATAGGAGTAATCATCTGTAAATGTTATGAACGAATCATAACCATCCACACTCTTTACAGAAAAGCCGACTACAGATGTCAGTGTGGATAATCTATAA